CAGTAGTAGAACAAATGTGCTGTCAACATTACAGTGGCGCTACGCTGATTTCCTAAACCGCATAATATATGTGTCTCCACGAGGCAATTTTTCAAATGTGATAAATCAATTATCTGTAAGGACTTTCAATCATGAATTAGCAAGGTTGGAGGAAAATACTTAAAAAACAATTAGTTGCCAAGTTTTGCAATAAATAAGGCAAAAGGCATAGACTCAAAAAGATGAACAAGTATCTCTTAGTTGTCAAGTGCATGTCAAGGTGATTGGTCAAGGTCATTGGTAGTGTTTGTCAAACCTGAACACCTTACAACGGTCTAAGATGCTAAAGTACATGTCATAAAATATAACAACCTTCTAGTTTAAATATACTCACAATTCACTTAAATCTCTGCCTTTTTTAGTTGAAGACAACACTGATATACTCACAGGAATTGAAGAAAGGTACAAAAAAAAGCCATAGGCTGCCATCTACTGGAATGGTATTGAATTGGTATTTAAAACTGAAAAGTGAAACTGGATAATTTTCCACAGCACACCTATTATTTCATCTGATTTTTATGGGATTTTCCTCCTGTACCACTGAAGGACACCCAAGTACACTCTGTGGTACACGTACCCTAGTTTGACGACAGTATAATAATATATTATATTTCATATTTCATCAGTATGGAACGACTTTAATGACTGAAGAACTACAGCGCAAATTCAGAGGCCCTTTTAATGAGGCAAATATTTCCATAACCACAAGTTTTAATGTGTAAAAAATGTAATTAAACTTTTATACATTAGCGGCGTATTCAGTTTGGGGATAGAACTGAATCAAACACAACTGTAATAGGCTACTAAAAGAAAGGATTTTAAAAAGCTTGTTTGTTTTCCATAAGTTGCAGCAATAAAATAATGTTGAATGAATAAAATGATGTAATTTATGAAATGCCTTTAAAGAAACCAAGCAATAATATTATAAAAAAATGAATACCTTCTGATATTCTTCTAATGTCATGTGACCTACAGTGTTCACAAGCGCGAAAGCTCTTCTCTCTCTATTGTCTTGTTTTTCCATTGTTTTGCCAGTGAACCTCTGAACGTAAACATCCAGTGGTAATGGGACCCCCACTGGTCAGAACAGAGACGCTACATGTTCAGTTCTAAAATTATCATCTCAACTGTGCTACATCCTCAGGGCAAAAACAAACATTTTTATAAAATGCATGAAACAAACATAATTCATAATCTATTAAATACATCTTTGAGAAGCTCAACTTGGTGGCGGGGGGGCTGAAAATACATAATGTATGATAAGAGAATAATTTTTTGCTTTTGTTTTCTGTTTTGTTTTTTGTCATTGCAAACGTGCTAAAGGTCTCCACAGCCTAACTGACACTGGTATTTGTTAACTACTGTGGTAAACTCTTCACTGTTCACAGGTAAGCATTCACACCAACACTATACACATTGAGTGAAGATTAAATTGTATTAAAATATACATATATAAATATATTCAGGTCAAAATGAAATATTAAAACCTAATCAAATTATATAAAGAAATACTCATGAACCTGAACTATGTCTACGTTGGTCTCAATGTCCACTGTCCAGTGTTAACCTGACTATAATGTCCACCGCTACTACGGCCATGAATGCCAGCCTAAACGCTCATTTGTCTTCCGCCTGCAGGGTTCTGAGGGACAACTGAGACGGCAGTACAATGACTGTTCAAGCTCACATGACTGCACACACACTTTAGCACAATCTGCTCTGACAGGGACCTCGCCAGGGGTGCAGGAAAAAAAAAAGCCATCACCACTAAAACAACAGGAACCATAGGCAAGACTTAGACCTCATGATGATCGAGTCAATAAAGAAAAAGTTTGTACCACATATTAAATACTCTTACTATACTATACTATTATCCAAATAATATTTGTTTTTACTATACTATACTATTATCCAAATAATTTGTTTTTGAGTATTTTCTGGACGCTCTTTGCCAAAAAAATACTGTATTTTCTGGATGCTCCTTGCCAAAAAAATACTGTATTTTCTGGACGCTCCAGAGTACCGCATCAGCCAAAAAAATGCATAATGACGAAGAAAAAAACATATGTAAGTCACAAGTCGTTATTCCTTATTTTCTTTCTTAGTTTCTCTCAGGCACAGTTCTACGATCTATTATTCCACCGCCTGGCCAATACGATACATATCACAATACAAGGGCAACAATACGATATATTGCGATATGAAGCGATACTGTAGGCACGATATATTGAGTTTTTTTTCCAGACAATTTAATTGACTGTTACTTGTTATTAAAAAAAAACGATTCAGTGCTGTAGAATATCAATATAATATCGTGAAACTAAATATTGCGATATTTCAATGTATCAATCATTTCTTACACGTCTACTGCCCGTATACGTCAATGAAGAGATCATTTTCGTAGCCTGGTGTTTATGTGATTCTGCACAGTGCGATGCTCCAAAGCTCCTTGTTTTTTTTTTTTAAAGAAACATTTTTATTTTCATAGGCACTAATACAAAGTCTGAAAAGGTGTTCCAGGTGATAGAAAAATGTTTTTTGACTGGCTGTTGAAAAGACAACAAAAAGCCACTAATTTATAAAGCACACTGGATACCAGCAGTACAGTCAAGGATCTGGAACCCTGTGAATAAATAGCGACAGAAAAAGCACATCCAACAGCAGAAGTTAATAATTTGACACAGAGGGGAGCAGAGTGTGTCCTCGAAAATGATTTAAGCTTTTCTGAGAGGAAATGCTTCACCTGGAATATTCCATCCACACAAAAAAAAAACCCTCACCCAGCTTAGTAAAGCATTTTCCATGTGTTCCTAGATTTATTCACCTTTTTTAAAAAATAAAAATAAGTTATTCTATATATATAACAACTATTGCTGCCTCTGGTGGCAAGGAGAAGAACAATGAGACGCCTCTGAGACACCCTTAATATTTACTAATTATAGATTGTATTTGACCTCAACTCTTTAGGTTTTTTTTTTTTTTATGTAACTGTGATTTGACAGCGATGACTCCTCAGACAGAAGAACAGAAATAGGAGGAGAAAACAGAAGTGCCAGACTTATACGTCTGTCTGGTCTTGAACTGTACGTGCCTTGTCCATAATAGCTCAGAGTGCCATCATTAGCTCAGAGGTGAGGTTGGAAAACACAGTGAGAATAAACCCAGAGCCGCTACTCGGTTCATGTTTTAAGGCAACGTATCACTGCTATCCATATGCTGGCAGACATGATAAAAAGAGACACTGCGCTATCTGCATGCAAACACCAGAACATGCCTGCTCTGTTGGACACCCCACACACAGTCACATCACATACAACACATGAATGTGAAATGACCTTCAGCTGGTTTCCCTTTTTCCTCATTTATATACAACATTATTGTAAATGTCAGGAAATCCAGACGTGTTGATCACGTCATCCCACGTTTCAGTTTAAATTGGTAGCAGAAATGCCATGGTTTAAACAAAGCACCGTGTCAGTGTTCATCGTTTTCTCTTCCTTTTTAGGTGGTCAAACATTTTGTGGAAGTGGAAAAATAGACCTGTAAGACGGCAGAAAGACGACTGATGCCTTTAAAACCAAGAGACGAGACAGATCTTGATTCTCAAACACCACTGAAGTCTCGGCCAGTTATGCTTATTTTGACAGATCACACACAGAAGCAGGAATTATCGCGATCCAGGTGCAAAAACAGATTCCTATTTGAGGGTTTACTTAAAAAGATCATTCCCTTGTTTTGTTTCCAACAATTTTCCAAACGGACCGTCTGCTTTAAAATTTTATGCCTCCCATTCTCACGCTGAATTATATCTATCATTACATGGACTTTAATGTTTTATTTAAAAACGATCCACCAAAGAATGGCCAAAACAAGTAAGTGGGACAATAAACCACTAAGGAAAAATAAACAGTCGTGAAAGAACCGGCAGTGAAGAAAATAGGGTCCTACTTTTTCCCCCAAACATCTCCTACTGCCTAATCCTTTTTAAGGTCCAAGAAAGTTGGAGCCAACACCAGCAGTTTTCCAGTCCATCAGAGGTCAAAACAACCATTCACACTTACATTAGTGTATAATTAACATTAGCCATAAAAAAAAAATATCCACAGTGACCATCCATTACCAACAGGATTCAAACGAGTGACCTTCCGGCTGTAAGGCAAGGGCGCTGACTGACTCCTCTATCATGTGTCCTATAAGTGATTGAACACTTGGTGACCTGGACCCTAAATGTCACCTCACTGACCTCACTGATTGATGAACAATTCATCAATTTCCATTAAAAACAAGCTAGTCTGTTCGATGGGAATCTGTTAACCTTTCCACCAAATCTTTGGTTTTTATTCAACCAATGCTACGTCACTAGTACAAGGACACAGGTTGGATAATCACGTCACGGTTGATGGAAACAGCACCGCCTGTAGGGCTGATATTCACAATTCACGTTAATCTACAAACCTTGGTTTTGTGAAGAGGTAACACACGCACACGCATTCACGTATTTTACAGTTTTTTTTTTTACTTTTCCCACATAATTGCTGCGTACATCAAGACGAAAGGGTTAACTCGACCCCGATCTCAACACAGCACTTGCCGAACAAAGTTTCCCGTTAGCTCAGGAGTGGATTTTTTTTAAAAAAACGCAGCAGCAGGTTCCGTGGCAAACGCGCCAACAGACGCGGCAACAACAGACGCTGCAACAACCCCAAGAGTCTGGTGACACGAAATCTTACACAACACACGGAGCAAACAACTACAGAGTCCGCCAGCAAAACAAAAGCAGCTCCGCAAGTGAGGACCGTCAGAAGAACTCTTCAGGCAGCAGCAAGACAAACCTCGTTAAAGACCAGGAGGTGGCGGAGGAGGAGGAGGAGGAGGTGCGCTTTACTTACTCTGTTGCTGGTAAAATCCCGAAGAAGCCCCGAGAACGAGCGAAAATCAGAGCACCGTGCAGCAACAGCAGCAACAGCAGCAGCAGCAGCGGGAGCCACATTCCCTCTCCTCCGCCTCCTCCTCTTCTTCTGCCTCTCTCTCCTCAGCAGCGGTTCGGATAAGTTTGGTGACGTCACCGGGCAGCGGGTCTGAGGCGACGGAGTTCTTTGGTCCTTTCTTAAATAATACATGGAAACCGAGAGACGCCACCGGAAATACGCCCGTGGGAGCCGAGCCCCCTGATGTCGAGCTTACTCTGTGTTATGTTAATTATGGAATTTAAAGTGACACGCTGCCAGCAGGGACTCCCGAGTGTAGAGTACAACCACTTTTTACACTTATGTAAAACCGTACAAACGATATACGATACGAAAGAATACACACAGAGTAGGACAGACATTAGCAAATTGCCTTTAAATGTCTTTAAATTTGCACAGATTATTTTTTAAATGAACCAAACCCCGTTATTATTATTATTATTAGTATTTTCATTTATTTCCAGACCCTTATATAGTATCAAAAAGCTTACAGTTTAATATAACTAAAGGGCATTAACATTTGAATTTTCTAACGCCACTACTTTTCCATGTCTTTTATGGTTTTAATTGCAACAGTCAGAAAAAGGAAAAAAAAACAAAACGTAAAAGCGAACTCCGTGCTCTCGATTCAACAAATCTACTCCTTCCTTTGTTTCCATAACATTCATCCAAATAGGTCAAATATGCGAGAGTAACAGAAGGAAAAGTGGACTCAACTCCCCCGGTATGTGCTTGAATATTTGGCCAAGAAAGCTGATTCTGATGTTTATGAAGCAGGAATATTTAGTGAAATATACTTTAGTCTTAGATTTTACTCATACATTGTTGTGTTAAAGAAGTCAACTCAGTTTACTATCAACAAGTATATGGTATTGTTGTTCTTTTTCTTGCCGTGAATAGTTGTTTGTACCTGCAGTCGGCTCAGTCGCCACATGAAACGTGCACCTGCCAACTCTATAGAAGCCTGAAGGGGACCAAAAAAAAGAAAAAGAAAAAGAATCTGCTGCCTGTGCTGCTGTTAAGCTGCTGGCAGGGACCAGGCACCAGGGACCAAGGACCAGGGACCAGGGAGTGGAGCTGCCGTCTCCTTCCTCCTGTCTGTCCTTCTGCTGCTCAAATAACCAAGGAGAGGGAATTTTAATCCAATATTTGCTCCTGTGGCCACTGCCTCTGAGACTACGACCTGAAAGTGACCCCCACCACCGGACACGTACAGGCGTCCAAATTTCCACCATGCTGTATGAGAAGTCTTACGGTATAAAGCTGTGAAAACTGATACTCTACAGGGAGAGTATGGGGAACTTACTGAGTGAACATGTATGTACATATATAACATCATGTATTTATATACATACATATACTGATATACACACATATGTAGATATACATACAAATATTCAGTCATATAATAGTCATATAAACCAGTCATATAAACTTTCAAATTTAACATCATTTATCATCATTATTGTCATAGTTCGGAATATTGATTTATCTGGATTATAAATTAATAATTAAGACAAATACGACCACAATTAATCAATTGGAATTGTCTATGTTTTCTGTTATTAAACTGGATTCAAATATTAGTCTTTTTGAGCGTGTTTTATTTCTTAAGTTCAAAGTTCAAAGACGTCCAACTGTGGTGTTCCTCCGACACACACACACACACATGAGCCAGCTGACTCCTCACTGCGTCGACACTTGGGAAATTAAAAAAAACAACTAAAATCATCTTCTCCCATTTCATGACATTTGAAACTGTCAAAAGACTTAAACTTGTCGCAGCGTTAATGATATTTATGCAAAACAACATCTGCTGTAGCCACATTTCTACATCGCTCTTATTTATGTCATTCAGCTGATTTAGTTCAGGAAAATAACAGCTCCTAGACACTCCTGGTTTGCTGGAGTCATACAACTTCCTGGCAGTTTTTTTTTTTTTCATGGTGACACACCAACACAAGACTGCTCTTAGGAAACTAACGGAAAAAAAAAAAAAAAAGAACTTGCTCAATTTCTGTCTCTTCCTTATTTTAAAATGCCGACCCAAACGTTTTTTTTTTTGTTTTTTTTGTCTCACAAACCCTGATTGTAGCACCACTTCACAGCCATTTTTAAAACCGCATTCCTAGTCCATACCCCTACCCATCCATTTATATCGTGCCATACGAGAATCCCCATTAAGGGCAGAGGCATCACAGCCACTTATCAATCACCGCTGCAGTTCATCAGCGTAGCTGCCACCGGAGATCATCACTGCAAAGATTAATGTTACAAAGGCTTCTCCACCGGCCTTACCTAATCAGAGGAGATAAGACCAGAGGAGCCTCTCTCTGGAAATAATAAGACGAAATTATAATTATATTTTTTTCACCAACAGCAATGATTCTATGTTTTATGTTGCCTTTTACTGCCAACTGCAGAGTGAATTCCCTCTGTGCCATGAAGCCTTGAATTATAATCTGCAGTTAATGTGATTTCAAATCAGAATCACTTAACTGTACTTGAAAGGTCCCACAGGGGTCAGTGTTGCGTCTGTTGTGATTCACCAACATCTCAGCAGACAGTTATAATAATAATAACAATAATCATTGGACCAGTAGAACATTGCCTCTAAATTGCTGTTAGAGTTATAAGGTATCGATGCACGTACTTTGTGATATAATTATGTACAGCAGTGTTTACCAACCTTTTTTGAGTCACGGCACATATATATCATCAAGGAAAACCCGACAACACACCACCAAAACAAAAATCTCACAAAAAGTATGTAATGAAAACTTATAATATTCTAGTTCAAATTTACTAAAAATGTACTCCTGTTTAGTTGTAGACAACGCTGATATACTAGCAGGAATTGAAGATACAAAGACACAAAGATCTTCTTCAACAGCTCTGATTAGCTTTTTTTTTAGTTATTTTATAACCATCTTCTTGTAAAGAAGCACTGAAACTAACCATTGGAAATTTATCTCTACCACCACCAGCTAACATTTACAACCTAGGCTGTATTTTCTAAACTACAAGTACATCCCTTATATACATTAAGTAGTAGAGTGGGTACATATATATTATACATGCCAGATATGAAGAAAAGAGAAATACATACTCAGCCTTGAACCAATACCTTCATGAGGTTAAGCAATGTCTCTCCATGAATCTTTGAAGAATAAAGAATTACAGTGAAGTTAAAGCCAGTGCTGGGATCAAGACGCTGCTTACTGATGTAAGAAGCGTCAGGAAAGGAAATGTTCAAAAACCTCTGCTCACTTTTAGGTCACAGTCGTCTATATAAGCCCTCTGTGGTGCTTTCATGTGTCATCAGATGTTTCTCTCATTCTCTCTCTTCTGTCTTCAGTAATAACAGAAGGAAGTGAAGTGCACTGCAGAAAATGTCAAACGAACCTGACAGAACGGCTATGTCATTTGGACCGGCCCCCGGGACCAGACAGACGCCTTTTTTTCAGTCCATTGGAAACTAACTTTTACTTTTATTGAATGACATCTTTGCAGCACAGATTTCATTTTATGGTTATTTCACTATAACGAGTTGATTAAGCAACGCCTGAGGGCAGGGCATCCCAGTGTGAACGCTTTGGCAGTTGTAGGGCTGATAAGGACCTTGGAAAAGTCTCGTCTCTTTTGATTTCCTTGTCGTCAGCTGGAAATCTGACAGTAACTGCTGGAAAAGCACAGTGGCCAAAATAAATCGTTCACACTGACATAAATATGAATGACTGTTACAGCTAACGTTAACTCTGGTGTCTGTACCAGGACTGTTTTATCTGCCCAACAGTCCCAGCATGTGTTTTTACCAGGACTGTTTCATCTGCCCAACAGTCCCAGCATGTGGTTTTGTCCACCAACACCCCCCCCCACGGTGAAGAAATAGCACTCCAGCACTGCTCCACTGAAGCTAAAATTCCACAGGGTGTAACAGACTTCCTCCACTACAGCTAATTCTAAATGAACCAGTCATATATTTGATCAGGTATTAGCTAGCGCTATTAGATAAAATGTACATCTTACGGTAGATATTTTTTAACATTTACATTTTTGACATAAAGGAAACTAAGCTTCTCTCTGCCGTCTTGGAGTTTCAGAGTCAGAGCTCTGCCTCGTTTCAGCTCAGCTGGCGCAGCCCGTTGCCTAAGTGACAAGGCCAGAAAGAAATGACTGCATCCATGCAATGATATATTATTTAAAAGTACTAACACAGATTCATTATCCAGCCCTGTGCAACAACAGGATGAGGAGAAACACAAGATCAAAGGCCACGAGGAGATTACTTTTCATCTGGGTGGAGGTGTGGAGCTGAGCGATGTTGACTCTCCGTGTGTGCGTGGTTGTGCGACTCCTGCCTGATTTATTTTTTGCCCTGGAAAGACTTCAATAAAATGAGGAACCGGACTGTTATAGATGTCAGCAGGCATTGGATCAAAGATTTAAGAGGCGGTGTTTAGCAGTTAACTGTCACTTTACATTTGATGTGTAAGTGAGTGTGGATCCATCTGTCAACCATTATGGTCAATGTATAGAACTGGGCCGTTCTCAGTATTTGGAAACACATTAAACAACTGTCAACAAAGTCTGGTTCAGATCTGAATAGATTTACACTGCGTAAAAATCTTAGAGCCCACACGAACGTCAGGTATTTGTCCAAATTACTGTATTTTCCGGACTATAAGTCACATTTTTTGTTTTCATCCTTTGACTGGGTTTGAGACTTATCCTCAGGTGAGACTCAAATATTAAAAAGTATAATTTCACGTTTGTTATTTTCACACAGACATCCGCTAGAGGGCGCTTGTGCAGCTTAAACTCCGGAGCGTCCGGAAAATATGGTATTTAAAAAAATACAACTATATTTGTATGTAGTAAAATCCTTAATTGTCATTATACTTCATGTACTCTCATACTTAAATGTCAACGCCAAGATAAAACGTAAACGTTGACGTAAAATATATCGTTTCAGTAAACAGAATAAACGTTGATAGAGCAAAGATTTATGGTAGAGGAAGTAAACTGAATACCAAAGTACTTAACAGGTACCAGAATAAGTCATACAAAGAGTGTGTGTATTCTGTTTCGTTCGTTTTGTTCTACAGTAAGTGGCTGTTAGCAGGAGTTCTGACTCTGTGATCTGTCACTGATTGGCTGGAGCCGGCTGCAGTTTCCACTGTTTCTAGTTTTAGTTCTATTTAGCTATAAAGTTATAAAGACAGAAACATATGAATGTGTTGATGATGCTTTTTGAAAACATTAAATATTTGATATTTGTGTTCCTTCTTATACAGGCTTAAGTGCAGATTTGCAGTGGATTGAAAACTCTTGTTTTCTTAGGGACGGCAGACAAAGTGTTTCGTGCAGACTAATGGATGCAGCCTCTCACATGCTCTTTGTTGCATCTAAGCCTAGCTTGTGTTCAATCAAGCTCGGAGCTTAACATTAGCAAAGCGTTTTCTGATGTCATCCTGTGGGAGGAGTTGCTCTTGTGCTGTGTGACGGGCTGCTGTTTGACTCGGTTTGGTCGTCTGCTCTGACTTTGATGGAAGGCCAACATTATGGGATGTGTTGGAAGGTTTGGACCACAATGTTATTTTATTAAATGTTATTTCATTAAAACTCCAGTCAGTCATAAAAAGAAGTGCTTTTCCTGATTTACAATCAGCCTTCTCTTCTCAGTCTGTGTGTGTGTGTGTGTGTGTGTCATGCCCATTAATGTCAAAGCCACTGTGACCACGGCGTAGTATTTGCCTATGACAAAAGACAACCTTCTACCCAACGCTGGTGAGTGACATTGTAAAGTTTGTAAAGTTTCCATATAGAGAAACTCACATATATATAAATACATACACACATAAAAACATATATATGTACATATATACATGTACTATACAAACAATCATTCCTACATACTGTATATTCTTATATATGCACATAATCATATATATTCACATATATACACATACATATATACCCATATAAATATATACATATAGACATACATATATACACATATATACATACATATATACATACATATATACACATACATACATACATACATACATATATATATTAATATGCATACAAGTTTAATATTCTCTACTAACTACAGGCCACTGGCAGCTTACCCACAATGCACATTGTCCCGTCAGCTGGCACAGCCTCCGGCTCTCGCTACAGTTCTAACAGAGACAGGTAACAGATAAATGGACGGATGCATGAATGAGCCGACGGACGGATGCGTGAATGGAGAGACAGTAAAAATGATGAACCGTTCTGTCTGGGAAATAAATAACTATATTTCCAGGGACCAATGAGGAGGTGGGAGCAGGCTGCACTGATAAGGGTAGCAGTGATGAGGCCGGCCTTTAAAGGCT